CATTTTGTGACAAAGAGCACAGCTTTGGAGTCATTCTTTCTGAGCTTGGTTTGAATCCCGGCTCCACTATTTACAGGCTGTGTGACTTTGGTTATGTACCTTCTCTGCGACTCAGCTTTTTCATTTTTTAAGTGGAGGTAATAATACCTCATATCATAAGAGTGTTAGAAAAAGTAAATGCGGTAACTCAGGATGGTAGTTGGACTACTCTCAATAAAGGGCAGCTGGGAGGAGTGGGGGTGGGGGACAGGAAGGAGAAAGGCTTTTGTGTGGTCTTTGCCCAAGAAACAACATTTAGAAAACTGACCATACAAATGAACTGCTGTGACTGTCCGCCTATGCAGAATTAATAAAACGCTGCTAAAGAAGATTATTCCAGAGAACAGCTCCATAGTTCTTTTTACTGAATGGTGGTTAAATGAAGAGATTTCTTGGGTCTTGGACCAGTCTAGAATCTCTCTCAAGTTATGTGTCTCAATATAGTTGCTGGCACAATGTGTCCTGAAGTCCTCATGCTAACTTGTAAGTGGACGTCCCTCCACCGGAAACCAGCACGAAGTGCAACTGGCTGCAGGGCATGAGCTTGGAGGAGGCTGGGTCATAGGACAGTGGGAGTGAAATGATGAGAGTCAAGTCCTGAATTACTGCAGCCACTAGGGTTACACAGGAAGAGGCACCATGTTTTTATTGCTGCCCTGGGCAGTTCTTTTAAACAGCAGGTGAATCTGAGAGTTCCCGCTTCCTGCCCAAAGAACAGAGCTCTAAGCCTCACATACCCAAGGTGTTAAGAGTCAGTGAACTTCATAGATACAGAGAACAAATTGGTGGTTGCCAGAGGTGGGGTTGAGGGGATGGGAGAAATGGGTGAACTGCAGGGTTTTCTGTTTGTTTTTTTTGGTTTTTTGGTTATAAAGAAAAAAAGATTTAAAAAAAAAGGAATTCCAAAATTAAAAAAAAAAACTCAATGAGCATCACCACCTTAGGTTTTACTATGGGGTGGGAATGCACTGTATCTGGGTAACTGATGAGGGGTAGAACTGATTGGGAGAGAGCGAAAACAGGCCAATGAGAGGTTTGAGAAAACATGCATGAATGTTAATTTTTTTCTAGGATGACTTTGTAGTGAGTACTGGAAGGATGTTTTTCTCACCACTGTATCCCCGGTGCCTGGCATAATATAAGTCCTCAACAGCTACTTTTACATGAATGAATGAATGGGGCAGGCTGGAGTTGATAAGAAGAAGGACATCCATCCATCCAAAGAAAAGAGCAGAGAATGCTTCTCTTAGGCCCTTGTACCAAGACACAGAGTTAGGGAGAAATTGCAAAGCCCTGTGAATTACCGTTGCCCCACCTCCACGATGCTCACAAAGTGCCCTCCCTCCTCTGAGCCCTCACTGTGGTAATAAGCCCTAAACAATAGGACGGCTTTTCTTTTTTAATTTGGCTGAGCCGTGAGGATTCTAGTTCCCCGACTAGGATTCGAACCCAGGCCCCAGCAGTGAAAGCGCCGAGTCCTAACCACTGGACCACCAGGGAATTCCCTAGGAGGGCTCTTCAAAGTGTGCCTGCCACTAAGCTCCATTCTCTAGGTCCTGACTCAGAGTCTACCTAAGAAACATTCTTTAAAACACCAGGGAAACGGCTGAACTGAGCACCTAGCTGCCTTGAGACTAGCTGAGAAGGGTCAAGCATTCTCAGTGGCAGGCAGGCTTTCCTACCCAATGGAACTGACGACCATTCCCTCCACTTTGGTGTTTTCATGGTTTACCTGAGAAAACCTCTAATTATGGAGTATGGAACCTACTGGAAAGTCTTCTCTCTAAGGCAGACCAGACTGGCTCAGACAGCACGTTTGTTTCAGTGCCACTGGGGTCTGCTGCTAAGAAAGCATCGCCCACGGCCATCTGGGGTGCTCCCAGGCTCCCTGCAGTGCAGATTCTCAGCTTGAGTTGGTGTCTCACTGAATTTGTGGTACTTCAAGTGCAGTTATTTTAATTTCATACAAAATGTTTAAAGGGGATAAATACACTACAGCATTCGGAGTCCTGATCCAGGACCAGTGGAAGTTAGGCAGTGAGGTTTAGTTTATTCCTACGTGATGGTGTTTACTGCATAGCACACTCTGTTCTAGGCACTTTGCATAGATTAACTGACCTGGTCTCACGACAACCTTAGGCTCTAGGTACTCCTAAGTATTTTATTATCCCCACCCCCACTTTTACAGATGAGTATTATCACTTCCACACTACACATGAGAAATTGGAGGCACCATGAAGCTTAGTGGCCTGCCTGATGTCCCACAGCTATTAACGGGTAAAGCCGTGCTTTGAACCCAGGCAGTCTGGTGGCAGAGATCCCCCTCAGCCAGTATATTGCACTGCCCTCTTTACATGCGTGTCATTGTAAAGGCCGAAATGAGGACATCCTGCCTGACTAACTGGAGACACACAGGCACCCTGAGCTTGGGGACTGCTGTATATATCTTTTGCACCTCCGCAGTGGTGAGCAGCCAGTAGGTGCTCCCCAGCAGGTAGGCATGGATGAGATTTTCCCCAAATGTCTTTATACATGCATGCAACGAATCTTGCCTCCACTGGACCTTAGCCACGAGGACACGCATGTGACGCCCAAGGGAACCTTTACGAAAACTTCATGGGTGTTAACAGAAACCAGTACAAAATGTTTAGAGATTTTGTGATCATTGGTCATAAATGATTTTTTAATTCATTTTTTCCCTGATTTCAGAAGTAATACATGGTCATCAGGAAAATTCAAACCTTTCTGAAATATATAAGCTATTCAAACACTTAAGTTAATCATGTATAATATTACAGTCATTCAGAATAATCAAGAGAGGGTCCCAGGATTTGTAAGGACTTAAATATAAGGAATTCTCTTTTTTTGGGGGGGGGTTGGTTTGAGGGGGAGAGGAGTCTATATAGTAAGTTTTAAGTTGTCTATTAATGTCTCTTTAGAAGGTAAGTCTACTGAGTTAGATGTATAAGAAGGTGAGATAAGTTCATTGCTTCTTTAGGAATGAACTGAATTTATATCAATGCTCAGGCAAGTCCCTTGGAGAAGCTTTGGTGTTAGGCCAGGGTGGGAACCAGTTGGATCTAAAAGTATATGTCTAATCCCAACTATTTGCATTTGGAGACTACAGCGAGGGTAGGGCTCCTCTCTTCAGGATCTTCTCTTCCTTCCCCAGCCATATTTGCTCCTCAAATGATGTCCTGTGGAAGGATCCAGCCAGCTCCATAAAGCTTTCTGATCCTGCTATAATTTTTTTCCCCTTTTTCCTTTCTTTTTTGGCCACTGCATGGCTGGCGGGGTCTTAGTTCCCCAACCAGGGATTGAACCCAGGCCCTCAGCAGTGAGGATCCGGAGTCCTAACTACGGGGCCACCAGGGAATTCCCCGGTCCTGCTATAATTGACATGGTGGAGAGGGCACTAGACGTCTCATTAAAGACTTCGGGAAACTTCTAACTTTTACCACTACTAACTGGGGAGCAGCTTAAACTCAGGGTGTACCTCCGTGTTCTCATTCACCAATGGGGATAGTGCCTGCCTTGTATCTTTCATAAGGTCATCAAGAGAGTGTAATGAGGTCAAGAATATGAAAAAGCTTTGTAAACTCTTTCTGTAAGTTAGAGGGTGAGGTGATAATTCTTTGCTACTTGAATGTTTGCCTTTAATTGAGAAGAATTGGTCTGAGGTGGAGGAAAGTTCACTTTGAAACCTAACACCTCTAAAATCTTAAAAAGAAAATTAATGGCTCAAACAAATGTCAGATTTATTTATAAGTGATAAATAATGGAAAATGAACTTGATGTGCTGAGCCGTCAGAGGGACATTTGGGCTTCAAATCTTCCCTACCCATCTCTTCTTGAAAGGCAAAAAGGAAAGGAGAAAAGAAAAAAGGAAAGAAGGAAGAAGCAGAGAACTACACCTGGAGGAACAGCATAATTAGAAAGGAGATCATGACCTGGGGACAAGGCACTCAGTGAGAAAATATATGTTCATCTAATTCCTCTTGCTAGACTGAGCTCTTCCAGGTTGGAGCTGGATTTTATTCATTTTTGTGTGGCACATCCTAGAGACTATTTAGGATGAACCATATGGCAATGCCATTTTTGCAGATCCAAAAGAGTCTCATATTGGCAATGCCACACGAATCAACCTAAGTGTTTGATAAAGATGAAGTGTTTGATGAAGACAATTGTAAAATTGTCCCGTTAAGAACAGCTGATGTAGCTCTAATCATCCATTGAATAAATATTTCTCTTATAAAAAAGTTGTTCAGGTGCTGTGTAGACATAGCCTGTGGTTCTAGTATATGTTTAAATGTATATGAAGTCAGGGCTTGTACAGAAAGAGAAACACAGAATATCAAATTAAGCTATATAGTCAATTCATGAAGTGAGTAATGATGTAGATAATTACAAACGTTATTTCAGTCACACAATTTCCCTGCAGTAGATTGTTTTCCTAATTATTGCTGGTTTGGGCTAGTATTAATAGTAACTGGTTTCCTGGACACACACTGGCTGATGTCAGGGAGAGAAAGCAAATGTGCATGTAGAGAAATCATTTGGCTTTCTTAAATTTTCATGGATACCCACAAAGTGGGTGCTTTAACCACAGGTTATCAAGTTGCATTGCCCACTGGCAAGTTTAAAAAGTAATAGCAACATTCATACTTACAGGTGAATTAAAGACTTTAGTCCCCGGAAAGTATGTCTTGAAATGGACTTGATGTTGTTGTTTTCTATGAATCTGCAATAGGTTATAATATTTTGGGTCAGACAGCTGTAGGAACCTCAGAGCCCTTGTACTGAATCATTATGTTAAAAAAAAAAAAAGGTTATTTTACTTACAAATACTCTAGATGTGGGAGACCAATAAAAGCATCATCACTGATCACATCAAATGAGTTCGATGTGAATAACCTGCCCAGAAAAAGTTCACAATGAAACGGTTAAACTGACAGATTGTCAATCTTTGCTGCTTTTATCTCTCAGAGAAACGAGTGGGAGTTGTGCATGGAAAAATGTCTGGATGTCTGCCTTCTACAGTGTTACTTATTCAGGTAATTTTTGCAGCTTTTTTTTTTAACCGTCAATTATCTCATCAAATGCTCATTGAGGGGTGCCTTGTGCCCCACTCCTCACAGGGATGGATGTCACATGCCCTGGGTAACATTTTGAGATACAATAGGGCAAGTATGGCAGTCGACAGCCAAATCAACATGTTGCAGGTTTCCATGCAAAGACACTAGCAGAAGCTCTCCCTCTTGTTCTAGAAACTTCTGGAACATTCTGACCAGGCCAAATAATGGTGTCATGGTTTCAAGCCTGGGAAACCTAGAAAACTATCTCCATGTCCAGTTATGCTGTGATATCTCATAGTAGATAAGCCACTGACACTGGCTTAATAAAAATCAACTAACCTCCTACTTTGAAAATAGAACAGGCTGAAGATGGGAAACCATGAGGCTTAGGAAGAGTCTCAGACCCATTTTATTACTACATAGTTGAAAAGGAATACTTTTACTTGGACAAATTTATTTGCAATTTCAAAATCCACAGGGATTTGGTTTCAAAATAACTGATGAAAAGGAACATCAACCAGCCGTCCCCACATCCTGTTGAATTTCCCGAAGAATTTTTTTTTTCTGAATGGGAGGCTTAACAGAGGTGATTATAGGTCAAATAATACAAAGTTATTTTTTTAGAATGAGTATTAATTTATGGAATTCATTAGATAAAGTGTTGATAAAAACTGAAAATAAATTTTTCATGTACTTATGACAAATTTATAATGAGTTCAAGTGACATTTAGCCTACATGTTAAGGTTTTCATATGGGAGAACCTCATATTTCACTTGTACTTAGAGTCTAAAATGTGACCGTGGTCATGGGACAGACCAGAAGTTTGACATAGTTTGACAACTCATGTCTCATACATACTGTTTAATTGTACTATGTAAAGTCCAATATTCTCTGTTAGTAAACTTTTTGACTTTTATTTTTGAGGTGTAGGGGTTAAAAATAACTGCCACTAACCAATAGTGACTTACCCTCTCTGAGCCTGTTAACTAAGGGGATTAAAACTAGGAGATGTCACTTTCTAAACAGTTGTGAATAACTTATTTGACATCTGGGATTCCTTCAGAATATTGAGAGGAGGGGGTAGCAGTGGGTTAGAGATGAACTGAGCATGAGGTGGTAATTTCTGAAATTGGAGGCTGGGTCCATGGGAGTGAATTTTACTATTATCCCTACTTTTATATATGCTTGAAAATTTCTGTAAAAATGGGGGAAAACACAAACAAAACCAGATGATCTCTTGCATTTCTTCCTAAGCTATCATTCCTGGAATGATGTTGGATTCTCTTCTATCCCGTCTCCTTCCAACATCATACATAGCTTTATACTCAAGTGATTCACTAGACTCTGAAGAGTCAACACTATCGAATAGTCATACGTATTAGATGCCCATAGTTATTCAAACAAATTCAAAGTTTTATGATTTCAGTCGCAACTTTGGCAATTGTCTCTTCTTACTTCGTGGTTCTGGGAAACAAGAGGATTACTCAGCCTTACTCCAAGGTAAGCTACCATCCAAAGTCCTCCTTGGGTTCCAGATTTTCATTTCATTCTGTATAAGCAGCATCAAGGATGGAGAGAGTGAAATAAGGCAGAAATAGATACAGAGAAATACCTCCCATGCTCACTGGTTTGCAAACTGTCCCGTGGTTGGACCAGTGACTTCAAAATCACACTCCAAGTCACTGGAAGAAATGGCTTCTAACACTAGTTCTTCTTATGTTGAATCATATGCATAACAGGGTAGGATATAGATATTAGTGGGCAGAATTAGCCCGCACATGTCAGGGAACTAAAACAGGGTTTCCACTAGAATTTTTATCTGCTTGTTCATTTCTTATCCCTAGCACCTGTAATAGTGCCTGTCCCATAGTGGACACTGAATAAACATTTGTTAAATAAAGAGGGATTTACTTTACATTAAATTCTGATCATTACTAGATTGAATGTTCCTTACAGCAGGGGCTTATCTTTATTGACTTTTGTGTCCTCAGCCCTGAGCATATTTCCTGGCTGAATTGTGTTTGCTGAACTAGCTCGTAAGGATCAAAACCTCTGGCTAAAACTACAACAACACGCAAGAATATGGGTGAGTCTCACAAACCTAAGTCCAGGGAAAGAAGCCAGAATGCAATAAAGTAATTCCCACATGATTGCACTTATATAAAGAACAAAACCCAGCAAAACTAATCTATGCTGGCAGAAGTCACGATAGGGTTTACCCTCGAAGGTGAGTGGTAACGGGAAGGGGGCACAAAGGGAGTCTTTAGGGTAATGATAATGTTTGGTTTCTTGACCTGGGTGCTGGTTACAAGGGTGTTAACTTTATAAAAAATCATGGCAGGGGTGGGAGTGATGAATAGGCAGAGCATAGAGGATTTTTAGGGCAGTGCAAATACGCTGTATGCTACCATAATGACGGATACATGTCACTGTACATTTGCCATAGGATGTACAGCACCAAGACTGAACCCTAATGTAGACTATGGACTCTGGGCGATCAAGTAAGTTCATCAGTTGTAACAAACATACCACCTTGGTGGAGGAGGCTGGTGATGGGGGAGGCTATGCACGTGTCACGGTAGTGGGTCTATGGGAAGTCTCTGTGCCTTCTCTTCAATTTTGCTGTGAACCTAAAACTGCTCTAAAAAAAATTAAGTCTTAATTTAAACTATCAAGATGTACGCTTAGGATATGCACACTTTTCTTTACGTAAATTATATTTCAATAAAAAGTTTTCTTATAAAAGCTAAAACAAATCCCTCTGGCTAAGATAATAATGAGTATCTAAATTCTAATATCTAGATTCTAATTCTAATATCTAGATATTCTAATATCTAGATTCTAAATTCAATTGTAATTTTCTTTGGACAAGGATTCCATGGACAAAGATTTGTAAATTTATACATACATTCTAAATATAGTTGAGCAGGCTATCCATTTTATTATCCTATATATACTTAAAAAAACTTAAAAAGGTCCTGTGCTATAAAGGGGGTAAAATGCCAATCTTTAATTTGTATGGGTTCCTTTATAAATGTTTGATTTCAGTATCATGATTTGTTATTGAGCCAGATGTGTTAAAGAATCCCAAAGTCCCTGTTAAGGGAAACTGTGTCACCCCACCCCATCTTTACACAAAACAGATCTGGGGCAGACCAGGGTGGCCAGGTTTTATACCTCATGACCTCTGTCCCCTTTCATAAATTATGAGACCAAGAAGGACTCCGTTCTTCATCCAGAGTAGCTGATCCTGAGGTCAGTCAGCATCCCATGGCCCAGCTAGTCTGGTTCAAAAAGGTGAGTTGGGCTAAAGATGAACCCCTTCTTGGGGATTTGGAATCACAAACAGATGGAACCAGCCAGCAGAGGAGCTGAAGGAGAAAAGAGGCCTTAGGGTTGAGTTAGGCATGGCATGCTAACTCATGCCATGGCAGGCAGACTGTGCAAGGCACACTCAGAAGAGAGTGGAATGCAGAGGAGACCTCACGAAGGGCAGTGTGTGTGAAGGCTGGAGCAGGGAGATGCCCAGATCTGTGTTAGATCCTACACCTGTGCTTCTCAATCTTAGTTGCACTTGGAATCACCTGGGGAGCTTTAAGAATACTGACACCGGGTTCTCGCCCTCAGGGATTCTGGTTAAATTCTATACCTGGGGTGTGGCCTGGGCATGAGAGATTTAAAAGCTCCCCAGGTGTCTCTTACACACAGCCAGGGCTGCATATGGTAAACTTTCTTGTCAGCCACAATAGCCTTCCTTTACCTGTGGTGACCGAGGGGGCCTGTGCTCCTTGCGGCAAGTGTGGCTGGAATAGTTGCTCTGGTACACAGAGGTGCTGTGGATTGTCCCGTCTCCATAACTACAGGCAGCAGGAGTCCACAATAATATGACTCAGATTTGACAACTGCCCTCACAAAAGTAGCACATGGAGGGGTGGGTGGGGATAAGTGTACTGTCTGAATGAACTGGTTACCCTGAGCTGCAAATCAGAGATCTCTATCCATACACTTGCCAAGTGGCCATCCAGTAGGTTGGTGCAGAGATAATGTAGAGTTTGCCCTCTGCCCCTGATCCTGTGGGAACATCTGAGGTCTCTGCCACTTCCTCTATTCTTAGGGAGGGAAAAAGGCAGGCACTGTTCCCTAGAATTTTGGTGGAGGTGGACACAGGGATGCACCTTGTCCTTTCTGTACCCCCCACCCCCCCGCGAGGGCTGTGCACTTAGGTCTCTTAGCCATCAGTCTCATGAGTGCAGTACGAAAACAACGGAGTGTAGGAGGTGTGGGGAGGAGTTGTTTCCTCTGCAACTGAGGGAGTGTGTATTTCCTTATCAAGAAAGACATTTAAGACCATACATATCAACTGTCAGTACCCTGCAGGCAATAGCTCATTCTTTAAATGATGATTGTTGCCTCCATAATAGCCTGTATTTCATAGACTCCTGCTGCATTGTCTTATTTGGTCTTTGAACCAACTCTGTGAAAGTGGTAGAGTAGGTGTTAATAGCTGTTTGGCAGGAGAAAACTGAGGCCTAGAGGAATAGTTAAAAGCTTTGACCAAGGTCATGAGGCCCAAGACTCCTGGTCTACTGCCCTTTCCACGCCCTGGGTGGTCTGTCAGTATAGGACCCGGATCACGTAGTGATACAACATCCACATTCTGGTAGACAACCATAATAACACTACTCAGCTTATGCAGATTTAAGAAATCGAATTAAATCAAAATTCCTTTTTTAAAGGAATTAATTACTCAAAGTTAGCAGCCTTAAAGTCACATTAAGATCATGTCAACTTGTATTTTTTTCAAGTCAAGAATTTTAAAAATCTGAATGCGGTTCGGTGTATTCTGCTTAAGGACGCTATATGCTCAGTGTAGAAATTCTGGAAAATAAAGAAAAGCTTAAAGAAGAAAATAAAGATCACTGTAGTCATACTACCTAAAGATGTGAATATGTGTATATATAATAAATATATGATATATACATGTATATATTTATAAAATTGGAATAATAATTTTTATATTGTTCTGTGTCCTCCTTTTCATGTACTTATTTTTTCAAGAATAATTTCTCAGGACAATACATTTTCAATATATAATTTTAACAGATGAGTAAGTTTTGTATTATGGAGATATCGGGATTTAACTTTTTTATTGTTGATTCCAATTTTCACTATTATAAACACTACCATAACCACCCTCTCATGCAAGTATTTTTCCATATTCCTAATTCTTTCCTTAGAATAGACTTAGGATAGATTTTTAAAAGTAGCATTATTGGATTGTATATGGTTTGTAGGTCTCTAGTTTATTACTAACTTGTATCAAATTGCATGTTCAATTCTGAATATAAAAACGCCTGTTTTTACCACATCCTTACCGACATTTAGTATTATCATTTTTGTTTCTTTTTCTATGAAATCATGTCCTTTGACCATTTTTGTTGCTTTCTAAGCGCCTTTTATTTACTAAGGATACTAAGAATACTACCTATTCTTTTCCTTTCTTATTTGATGCTGAGTTTTTCCCTACTGATTATGATTTGCCTTTTGAATCATGATTTTTAACATATAGACGTTTTACATTTTAACAAAATATATCAACTTCTATTATATATTCTTTCTTTGCTGTAATTCTTTAAATGTTTTTTCCTACCTTGATATTAATGAAATATTACCTAATTACCTCCCTCCTTAAGCTTTTTTTTTTTTTGACTCTAATTTATTTGGGACTTACTTTTATCTATGATGTGAGGTGAGACATTGCCTTGATTCCTGCCTAGATATTTACCCAAATTTGCCAAAGCCTGTTGTTGAATAATTAATGACCTCCCCTGCCCCGCCACTTGCGAGTACATATTACTTCCTTCAAATGTCTGCGATTTTATTGGGTTTTTCCAAAAATGAAATCTTGGATTTACTTATTCCCACTGCTTCCTAATTTATTTTTTTCTGTTTATTATTTATTTTCTCTTGAGCTCCTTAGAATATGTATTGTTTCATGCTCAATTCATATGTTTTTATTCTTTCTGATTTAAAATGAAAGTATCAATATTTAGAAATATGACTTTACCTCTACGTAAAGCATCCAGTAAGTTTTAAATGTAATCTCTTAAAATTGCATATTTGATTTCAACAAATATTTAGAATAATATTCTTAAAATTTCCTGTTGATGATAGGTTTTTTTTAAAGCTTTCATAATTTAAAATTAATATTGCACTGGGACCAGAGGATGAGATCTGTAAAATGTCTGCTAACCCTGAGCTCCAGTTCTTCCTTCTGACTACCTATTTTCAACTGTCTGTAGGAGTGGGTCGCACCTCTCCATAAGCAATAAATTAACACCAAGGCTGAAAGGTTATTAGGGGGTTCCTAGTTGAAAAGCTAGGACCAGCAGCACTTAATTCAAAAGGGGTAGAGAAGTGTGTGATAGGGTTGGCATGGAGCTCAAGTGCTGGGATCAGCAACAGAGAAGTAAAGGAAGAAGCAGAGGATCACAGAATGAGGATCTAGCTACATTAGAAGGTCAAGACTAAGGCTGCCCAACATCCAGCTGGGGGTCCACAAGAGTAAAATAACTGGGCAGGAGGGACATGTGTCGATTCCAAGGCTGATGGGCTGCTGAGGCGGTTTCTTGCCCTGGCTTCTCACCTCTTCTAGGGACCAGGGAAGGAGCATGCTGCAGAGGGAATTGCAAAGCCTGGGTCTTCATTCCCACTTGGCCATAAATCCTCTGTGTGGCCTTGAGCACATCACTTCTCCTCTCTATGTTGTCAAATGTGGGGCCTAAACTAGCTTGAAAGATGTATGCGTTAGGCTTGTAGCGCTGCAGGCTTCATTCATGGAAGAGTAGGCATGGCCTCTACATGAGGAGTGGGGCATAGTGGGGAGGCAGGTCTGCAGATGGCTGAATGGGAGGAGTAACCCTGCTGGGAAAATCTCCCTTTGTCTCAAACCAGACTGCTCATCTGGTCACATCAGGGCCCCCTGGCTCTAATGACACTTCTTCGGACTCTCTCTAGTCACCCGTGACATCTTAACTGCCATCAGAATTGTCATTGTTCCACAAGTGGTCTGCATTTTATCTTCCAGCCCAAAGCAGATTCTTGCAGCTATGGGGGGGGATGATTTAGGGGGCTCTCCCATAAACCACCCCCCTGAGTAAGGGCTACTCTGGATGAAGAAGAGTGGGCAGCCAGCATTGGGCTGTCACTTAGAGATGGCACTGATTAGACATAGAATAGAGAATCTGGTTTCTAAGTTTGTGGCTGCCACTTAGTATGTATATGGTACATCAAGGAGGTAAACCTATTTCAACATCTGTTAAAATAGGAATGATAATAACAAAAAGATTTCCTGGAAGATTCTAAGAATTCCATGAGATAATGTATAAGAGCATGTCTCCAATGCTTCTGCCAAGGAATCGCTCAGCAAAGAGCATAGACGTAAAATATCAGAGCTGGAAGAGCTTTTGGCTCTAGTGAAGGACCTTAGTTATATAGAGCG